TCCTTTTTTTTTTTTTTTTTTTTTTTTTTGAATTGCTTATTGCTTTTTTTATTTGGCTGCGCCACACAGGGTGAGCTTAATCCTGCTGCATCACATAGTACTGGGGGGACATGCAAAAGGAATTTTAGTCGCAGTTGACGAAAAATGCCCCACAGCTATAAAATGTGGAGTGAGGTTTATCTCTTGGCTACTGGCTTTTGACCAGGGGGCACTTTCAGCCAAAGTGTTTGGGCCTTATTTTTATCACCTGTCCACCTTGTTTTAAAATATACAGTTGACCCTTGAACAACATGGGTCTGAAGTGCATGGGTCCACTTAGATGCGGGTTTTTTTCCAATAAACACATACTGTGGTACTACACAATCCGAGGCTGGCTGCAGAAACCAGAACCACAGATATAGAGGGCTGACTGTATGTTTTTCTTGAGTTTTCCACTGTGTGTAGGGAGGGTTGTTACCCCTAAACCCTGAGTTGTTCAAGATCAAGTGTATATCTAAGAGGTCCTATTGTGCAGACACACTCAGTACACTTTATTGACTTTCAGATGAGTAAGAATGAAAACAAGGACAAGACAATGCAAACAACCCAACCCCAAATCAAGCTGCTTTATTTAAAATGATGAACGAGTTTCATCCCAGTGAAAAGTTAAAAATGCCAATCCAGTTGCGGCCCTACCAGCATTTGGTGGTGGACCCCACGGGAGAGACCCAAGCAGAACTAGGAGGCGCTCAGGGTGCTCTACGTGACCCCGGAGGAGGCACCAGGCTCTCAGCAGACAGTCCCAGCTCCTCTGTAGTGTCCAGTCCCCGCAGAGACAGCAGGCAGGCGGGGCCAGTTCTCCTGCTCCCGGGAGAGCAGAGGATGGGGCCAGATGCTCCTAGTTTTTGAACTTGAATCATGAGTCAAAGTTGAGAGCCACCTCTGCAGTTCTGCTGCATACAATGTAACATCCGTGTAACATCACGACAGAAGCCGGGGAGGGGTGGAGTATAAGGAGAAACCAGACTCCACATGGAACCATCAGCGGGACCCAGTACACAGCAGGAACGACTTATTTGTGGAAATGCTACATACAATTCAAGAAACCTACAGCTGCGTGCTTATACGCCTACTTCCTAGACAGTGGTTTTTACAACATTTACTGCAAAACCCCCGTTCCACCCCACACTCTTTTCTGGAGTCCTAAAGCATATCAAGGCGGAAACTCCAATAAATGTGTAAAGCACTTGCACCAGCAACCTTCTCGCTGATCCTTTGTTTAAATACCTTTGGCTGATTCACAAAGAAGCTGCGTCCTAAGTTAAAAATACAGCTATAATTATAGTTATGTTCTTTTATGAAGATCTCATAAACTTGCATTTAGTAAGGACTGAACTTGCTTTTCTGGTCACGGAGATGGACGTGCACGGCTCTACCCACTCTGACCCGTGGCCCTTGTGAACAACAGCCAACTTCACTGTCTGTGAAGCTCCACGAGGTCAGGGAGCTGCGTTTATCACTGTGGCGTCTACAGCACCTAGAACAGTGCCTGGTGCTGAAACATTTGTTGACTGTTTTAATAATTAACAAATGGGCATCTGCAAGCGTGAACAAAACATGAATAATGTCCCTGCTTTTGGTGGCTCTCCCCTCAAAGGCATCACCCTCAACACAACAGCACTACTGACCCCAGAGGCCCCTGTGTGCAGCACTGACCACCTTGGGCTGATGGTAAAGCCTCTGGAGCCTCCCTCATCCCCAAAGACCCAGAGCCCTCCTGATGTCCTGGGTTCCCCGCTCCTGTCTCGCCCGCCCCACTCCTCCTCTGCGGTAGTTATTAGTCTGGATCCTTTCTTCCAGGACCCAGCTTGTTGGTTTTAAGATCTGCTGTCGTCTCAGAAAATAATCTCTAAAAATAGTTTAATGTTGTATCTTTCTCCTTACTATCCTTGACACCACTCAAAGGCGTAGCTCATGCCAGGTGGGCAGAAAAGGTTAACTTTAGAACAGATGGACCCTTGGTTCCTGCTTCCTACCTCACCGTGATCACCCAGCCACACTCCACTGCTTTCTGTTTCCCCACCTCGGCCCTGCTTTGCTTCCACAATGGTGTGTTTGCCTGGCCCACAGTGACAGTAAAAGGGGGGCTGCTGAATCTCTGGCCTGGCTAAGACAACGAAAGAGCGTCCCACTGCCATTCGTGGTCCCACAGCCATTCGTGTGGGGTGGCGAGACCCAAACGCAATCCGTGCTACCCAGGCACTTTCAGGAGAGGTGACTGCGGGCATGTCAGACGGGCTGCATCCCTTATATCTGGGTATTGTTTTTCAAACAGGAATCCCTTTTGGCACCTGGGGAAGTAAAACTGGGTGGCTAGGCTCTCAAACCAAACTTCCACTTTACCATCCCTGCTGCTGCAAATGCATCCCACCACGCCCCCTGGTGGCAAGAAGCCTGTTTGGTGGTTTCATCCTTTAAACTGAAGTGGAGGGAGGCGCAGTTGGTATGGATTTTAGAGGAAAGGGAGTGAGTGTGACAGCCTGGTAGCAACACTGGGAAAAGGAAAAAAGCATTTTGAGGATGTCAAGAAAAGTTTTTTAAAAACGAGGAGGAATGCCATTAAAATATGAAGAAAATCTTTCAGGGTTTGGATCTGCTCACAACCACAGACACTGGAGCCAGAGGGCCAGGGAGGGGGAGTGGCAGGTAGAGCGATGCTAGGAAGTGAGCAGACGTTCCATCCAACCCAGACGTGTGTTTTGGTTGGCATTTCAGAATGCAGAAAACTGGACAATTCAAATAGGCGACCAGCCTTCTAGAGTAAAAGTCACATGACCGACCCAGAGAGTCAGGAAGTGATAACTGGTCTACCAAACATGGAACATGTGGCAAAGAAGCGACCAGGATTTCCCTGATCACACCCGCTTGAAGGGAGGCTTTTGAGAGACACCACCATACAGCTCCAGCCACCCGCCCACACACCTGCCTGCACCAGTGAAGCTCCTTGGCCCCAAGCTGCCGGTGCCCTTCCCTTCCTCATTCCAGCCCAGAAAATGCTTTTCACAGGGGCACGCCCTCAACCACCCCCTCTTAGGGTGAATTTGGGGACAGATGAAGGCGAGCAGGTGAACTGACAGGGCAGGAGATGGAACCCGCTGGGCAGTCCCTACCAGAATTAGTTAGAAGCCTAAACAGATCCCAAAGGCCAGAGGCACCAACTCTGCATTTATTCCCAGCACGTAACACGATCCCCACCTAATGTCTGCAGGTCCAAGACGTGGGGACGCTATCATGAACCCTCTTACAGAGTGAGAGCTTCTGACTTATGGATCACGTGGTGGGAATGATGGCGACAAATCTTTAAGAACTTGGCCCTGTTTATATATTAAGTTCTGTGATGACAAAATTATCCCTAGACTCTAACAGCCTCTCTCATTGTGGAGAAAAAGTAATGAATCCTAAGACAGCACTAGGCAGTGGTGAGTGGCCGGGTTACTGCCACCGAATGCGATTCTGGACGGACGACGGCATACAGGAAGACGGCACACTCGTGGTCCTTCTTACACGTAATCGCTTCACACAGAACTCACCGCTCACCACTCTCGGCGTCTCTGCTTGCGTGCAGCCGGCCACGTGGACGGCGGGAGTCCCTCACCAACACCAGCGAGGCAACAGATGCAACAATGCATTCAAAGGATCACAACCCTCCAGCCTTGCGGTCGACCAGCTTGGTTTTAAAGGAGCACAGCACCTTCTCGCCCGACATCACGGAGGCCTTCAGTGCTTCACTAAGCATGCAGAGTTTTTTAACTTCTTGACAATCTAGTCTCAGTAAGCAGAAAAAAACAGCATTTGACCGGAGACGGGAGCTTGGGCCAGAGAGGATTATCCAAATTCAAAGACAAAGGAGAAGGTAGGAGC